CTAATTGACGTTGGTCACTCCTAATTGAGGCGTCGGGTCGTCTCTGTGTTGAGGGCAGATCATTCTACCTGAAGGTGCGCGTGTGGGTACATCCTGAGGGTGCGAGGGCGTGTGGGTGACATCCTGAGGGTACGAGGGCGGGGACATCCTGAGGGTGCGGGGCGTGTGGGTGACATCCTGAGGTGCGAGGCGTGGCATCCTGAGGGTGGGGCGTGTGGGTGACATCCTGAGGGTGCGGTGTGGCCCTGAGGGTGGGGGTGATCCTGAGGTGGGGGCGTGGTGACATCCTGAGGGTGCGGGGCGTGGGTGACATCCTGAGGGTGCGAGGGCGTGGGTGACATCCTGAGGGTGCGGGGCGTGGGTGACATCCTGAGGGTGCGGGGCGTGGGTGACATCCTGAGGGTGCGAGGGCGTGTGGGGTGACATCCTGAGGGTGCGGGGCGTGTGGGTGACATCCTGAGGTGCGAGGGCGTGTGGGTGACATCCTGAGGTGCGGGGCGTGTGGGTGACATCCTGAGGGTGCGGGGCGTGTGGGTGACATCCTGAGGGTGTGGGGCGTGTGGGTGACATCCTGAGGGTGCGGGGCGTGGGTGACATCCTGAGGGTGCGGGCGTGTGGGTGACATCCTGAGGGTGCGGGGTGTGGGTGACATCCTGAGGGTGTGTGGGTGACATCCTGGGTGCGAGGGCGTGTGGGTGTGACGCTGAGGGCGTGTGGGTGACATCCTGAGGGTGCGGGGCGTGTGGGTGACATCCTGAGGGTGCGGGGCGTGGGTGACATCCGGGGCGTGTGGGTGACATCCTGAGGGTGCGGGGCGTGTGGGTGACATCCTGAGGGTGCGGGGGGTAACATCCTGAGGGTGCGGGGCGTGGGTGACATCCTGAGGGTGCGAGGGCGTGGGTGACATCCTGAGGGTGCGGGCGTGTGGGTGACATCCTGAGGGTGCGGGGCGTGTGGGTGACATCCTGAGGGTGCGGGGCGTGTGGGTGACATCCTGAGGGTGCGAGGCGTGGGTGACATCCTGAGGGTGCGAGGGCGTGTGGGTGACATCCTGAGGGTGCGAGGGCGTGTGGGTGACATCCTGAGGGTGTGGGGCGTGTGGGTGACATCCTGAGGGTGCGAGGGCGTGTGGGTGACATCCTGAGGGTGTGGGCGTGGGTGTGTGTGGTGACATCCTGAGGGTGTGGCGTGTGAGTGACATCCTGAGGGTGCGGGGTGTGGGTGACATCCTGAGGGGTGTGAGGCGTGGGTGACATCCTGAGGGTGTGGGGCGTGTGGGTGACATCCTGAGGGTGCGAGGGCGTGTGGGACATCCTGAGGGTGACATCCTGGGTGTGGGGCGTGGGTGACATCCTGAGGGTGCGGGGCGTGACATCCTGAGGGTGCGGGGCGGTGACATCCTGAGGTGTGAGGGCGTGTGGGTGACATCCTGAGGGTGTGGGGCGTGTGGGTGACATCCTGAGGGTGCGGGGCGTGTGGGTGACATCCTGAGGGTGCGGGGCGTGTGGGTGACATCCTGAGGGTGCGGGGCGTGTGGGTGACATCCTGAGGGTGCGGGGCGTGTGGGTGACATCCTGAGGGTGCGGGGCGTGTGGGTGACATCCTGAGGGTGCGAGGGCGTGTGGGTGACATCCTGAGGGTGCGGGGCGTGTGGGTGGCATCCTGAGGGTGCGAGGGCGTGTGGGTGACTGATCATTTTATTATTATTATTATTATTATTATTATTATTATTATTATTATTATTATCATCACCCAGGATCATCTAGCCGGGTAGTAAAGTGCCTCTCAATGATATAATCACCCCACCACCCCAACTCCTGGATTGAGCGACCTGCCAAGTGTGTAAAAATTACCTTCCTCCTTCCCTTTTCCTCTACTTTCTTGCCTTCCATCCCTTCTTCGTTCCTGCTATCCTCTTCCCTATTCTTCCTTCCCTCTTACTTTAATTCATCCCTTCACCTTTCTCTCCTTTCTTCCTTTCTCCCTTCCTCTTCCCCTTCCTTCCTTCCTTCCCTTTCTTCTTTCCTTCCTTCCCTTCCTTCCTTCCTCCCTCTTCCCCTTTCTCTCCTCCCATCACTTCTTCTCCCCCTTTCATCCCCCCTTCCATCCCTCTTCCCTACCCCTCCCATCCACACTCCTCCCCCTCCCAACCCCTTTCCTCCCCTACTATCCCCTCCTTTCCTATCCCCTTCCTCCCCCCTTTCCTATCCCCTTTCCTCCCCTCTTTCCTCCCTCATACTTCCCACTTCCTCCCCATTCTATCCCCTCCCTTCCCATCCCCCTTCCTCCCTTCCCATCCCTATTCTTCTCCTTTCCATCTCTTTTCCTCCCCCTCCCATTCCTCCTTTACACCCTTCCACCCCTTCATCCTCCTCCCATCCCCTTCTCCTTCCATTCCTCCTATCCCTCTCCCCCCTCCTCCCTCCCCTTCCTTCTCCCTCCCTCCCCTTCCTCCCTTCTCCTCCTCTTCCTTTCTCCCTCCCTCCCTTCCTCCTCCCTCCCTCCCTCCTCATCCCTTCCTCCTCCTCCTATTCCCCTTCCTCCACCTTCCATCCCTCCTCCCAGACCCATCCCCTTTCCTCTCTCCTCCATATACCCCTTCCTCCATATACCCTTCTCCCATTTCATCCCATTTCTCCCTCCCGTCCTTTTCCTTTCCCTTCCATCCCTTTCTCTCCCTCTTTCTCCACCTTCCTACCTACCTTTCCTTCCCCTCCTCCTTCCTATTCCCCTTCCTCCTTTTCCATCCCTCCTTCTCTCCACTTCCCATCCTCTCCACTCCCATCTCCCTCCCTACACTTTCCATTCTTCTTTCCCCTCCTTCCAATCCTCTTCTTCCCCCTTCCATCCGTCTTTCTCCACTTTCCTATCTACCTTTCCTTCACGCTCATATCCCCCTTTCTCTCCCCTCCTATCCCCTTCCTACCCCCTTTCCTGCCCTCCTTCCTCCCCTTCTCTCTACTTTATCACGGTGACCCGGACGCGAATGACGCCAGTGGAGTGTGAACGTCGCCTTAAGATAAGAGACAGTGGTGTGAGAGAGAGAGAGAGAGAGAGAGAGAGAGAGAGAGAGAGAGAGAGAGAGAGAGAGAGAGACTCTTAAAGATAGCAAGGGAAAGCGAGGGAAAGAATGAAGTATATATAAAGAGAGAGAGAGAGAGAGAGAGAGAGAGAGAGAGACTAGATCATACACACACTACTACTACTACCTGTACTTTGCTGTCACTCGGAATCGAGTATGACGATCATCCAGCTATGATACAATGATATGAGTTATTAAAGATGTCATCTTCGTTGGTGAGGTCTGAGGTGACTGTAGAGGCCGATACAGGACCGGCAGGGCCGTCCACAGATGTTGCACGTGTGGGGGGCTACATCTAGTGAGGGAGGGGCAGCAGCAGCGTCTTTCCGGTGCTGGCGCTTGTCCGCCTCGGCTTACAGTCGGGCTAACTCGAAAGTATTGGCACCTTCTCGTGTGGTGCTCCTCCAAGCGTTACTATGTGGAGTGATCGTCTCCCAGGTGAGGGGTTGATTTGGCACCTTTTCAGGTTTGTCTTGAGACTATCCCTGTAACTTTTCCTTGCCAGCCAGCGTTACGTTTACCATTAGTTAGGTGACTGTAAAGAAGCTGCTTTGGCAGTTTACTGTAGTCCATGCGGGTAACATGGCCAGTCCAACGTAGTTCTTCATTGATAATTTTGGTAGCCTCGATGCTCCTACAGTTGGTGTCAGCAAGAATACTGGCATTTGTTCTCTTGTCTTCCTAGCAAACTCGGAGGATGGAACGTAGACTACGTTGGTGAAGGTTTTCAAATGCCTTGAGGTGCCTCCTGTATGTGACTCATGTCTTGTTGCCATGCAGCAGTGTGGGGAGGACCCTACAGCTGAAGACACTGGTACGGCGTTTGCCAAAGTTGGTGGACAGGTGGGAGCCAAGATACTGAAAGTGGGTAACATTAGAGAGGATAGTACCGTTAACCTGGTTGGATGATGGAGATTGGGTTGAACCAGGGGCAGGCTGAAAGAGAATCTGATTCGTATGTACAGTTCCGGACGAAATTCTTGAATCAGTCAAGGTGGAGGGTGCAAAGTCTGTCCCCATCCTTACTAGACGGTGGGTCTGCTGTCCGGCCATCGCTCCACCTCTACCCCAACACACAAACAATCACCCAAGCAGTTCAACAATCAAGCTCTGATACTTCCATTCCCAATAATGACTGCGAAAGGATGTAACTGTTTTGTTTAATAAATTCACGAAACAATTTACCCAATAAATTTTTACATTACTGGACATAATAGGTTACATCATCATTAGGTAATTATGACATAATGGAGCGTGTGTCTTGGTGGCTGGGGTTCGCAACAATAATATCAGAATCCTCCAAGCTGTATTGCCCCTCGAATGGTAGCCAGCATACTAAGCATGGATGTGAGGAATAATATGGTTCACAAGAGAATGCTTTATCATCCTCCGTGATAATGGCTTTATCATAGGGTCTGCACACGTAACCTTGGCTTGAGTCCTACAGTGGATGACATGATGGGAGTATGGCTGACATATGAGCGACAAGATTAATATAAAAGTGTCACAACAAGTAGGTCACAACACCATTAATTAGGGTGAATAGAAATATAAGGTAAAGCAGCATGATCATATTTTATTATTAGTTATACTTGTATAGGTAACCATAAATATTACCTAGCTGATGTTAAATACACTCAGTATATTTGTAAGTATTTACTTTAAAAAAAGGTAAACTAATAATTCAATCAATATATTCTTTAGATGACAGAAATTATGCATACCTCATATTGTCACCAAAATTATTCACTCAGTGGCCAGTCCAGCCGCCCATGTTTTTCTATGGTGGCTTGTAGCCTGTCCGGCATGTGCTGGTCTCGCACCAGCTCCGGTCTACCCATGTCTACCCACTGTCTGTTAATTTTTTTTATTTTTTTTATTTTTTTTATTTATTTATTGGGCACTCCCCTACATCCTTGTGTAAGGTGAAGCGCAGAAGCGTTTACAGCGCCCAACAGGGAAGCATGCTAAGTTCATGCTTGCCTTTATGTCTCATGAGTTAAGGGCGTAGAAGCCTGAAGAGTCAAGGGCGTAGAAGCCTGAAGAGTCAGTGGTTTATGTCATCAAGTTATTGGAAGCTCCAACAACTTTCCCTGAATGCGAATTCGCAACTTTCGACTTACAGCAGGTACCTACTTTACTGCTAGGTGAACAGGGACTAATGGGGGCTAGGAAGTAAGTCCAAACAACTTCCACCGGCCCGGGAATCGAACCCGTGACATCTCGCTTGCTAGGCAAGAACGGTACCGCTTCTACCACCGATCCCCCCCTGTCTGTTAATGTGCACCATAATGTCAAATAATGTAAAACTTGATTGGATAAGCGGTTCCGCGAATTTATTAAACTAAACAGTGACATCCTTTCCCAGTCCTTATTGAGAAATGGAAGTATCAGAGCTCGATTGTTGAACTTCTTGGTTGTTGTATGTGTATTGGGGACGATGGCCGGACAGCAACCAGTGGGGCCACTGCTTGATATTTGTTGCTAAATCTTGAAAATTTTATCCCAACCTTGAATGGTTGAAATAAGTTTTTGAAAACCTTCCATACATTGACAAATTCTATAAATATTTTCTATTTTTTATGAATATCTGTGTTTATATTTAAGAATCATACCCTGTAGTTAACTTAGATATGGCAATGTTCTTTTGGTACTTGATTTGCTAAGTAATTTGGTAAATAATTTGGCACCCCTGGACTCAAATAGAAAAAGTTAAAATATTTACAACTACTCATTTGTCCTCTCTTAAATAAGTCATATTTTCTCTAGATCAGTGAAATATCTGTCGGGGCTGGCCTGGCACAGGCTGAGTCACGCACCTGCCCTCCCTCCCTCCCTCCACTCACCCTGGTCACTTACACAATAACGCTGGGCTGGTTTTATAATTGTCTCAAACACGGTATAACAAATTACTGCAGTACAACACGTCTACTTGTTTAGATATTAAGTAAAATCTCTGCTTTGATATACTCAGGTAAAACTTTAGTTTAGTCTCGTCTCAAACTGCCCAACGAATAGATTTCGTTTTCTTTTGTTATGCAGACTACCGAGTGTCTATTTTCGTTTGATTATAAATTATTTTCGTGAATGCCTTATATATTTTTTTACAGTTTGGAGAATTGTAATGAATATAATTAAAATAATTGTAATTAGATATAATTTTCTCATACCTCGAAATTTTGTTTAGCGATCTGAAAAGATTCAGACACGAATCTTGTAAGCTTTTTTTTTCAAGACTGGTATCACTGACAATGACCTGCCGTCCAGTAAGGGTGGGGCTGACTTTAAACCATCCATCTTGACTATATCTAGAATTTTTGTCCAGAGCTGTACAGCACATTCACCTCAAGGCCGAAGTGTGCATACGCATCTGTGTAGGTGTTCAGGATCTCCTGCAGGTCGCATTCAGTGTGATCGACAAGAGTGAGGTCGTCTGTACACTGAAGTTCAGTAATGGAAGCGGCTGACACCTTTGTTCCTGCCTGGAGTCGTCTTATGTTGAAACGTACCTTCATCCGGCACTGGATGTCCACCCCGCCGGCAAATTGGC